GATACCTCATCAAAGAGGATATAAAGATGGCCAATAAGCAGATGGAAAGATGTTCAGTGTTATTAACCATTAGGGAAAATGCAAGTTACAACCACAATGAGATACCATTTCATACCCACTAAGTTAGCCATGATCAAAAACAAAAACAAACCAGAAAACAACAAGTGTAGGTTAGAATGTAGAGAAATTGGAACTTTCGCACAGTTGTTAGGGATATATAATGTGCAGTTGCTATGGGAATCATTTTAGTGTTTCCTCAAAAAGTTAACCAGAATTACCCTATGACCAGCAATGCCAGGCCTAGATATATAAGCAAAATAACTGAAAACAGGTACTCAAATATTCATATATGCACGTTCATAGCAACACTACACACAAAAGCCAAAAGCCAGAAGCAACTTAAATGCCCATTAACTGATGAATGAATAAATAAAATGTCTATCCACACACTGCATATTATTCAGCCATAATAAGGAATAAAGTGCAGGTACATGCCACAGGATGGATGATTCTTGAAAACTCTGCGCTTGTGCTTGGTGAAAGAAGCCACAAGCCATAGGTCACATACTGTATGTTTCCATGCATAGGAGACACCCAGAAAAGGCAAGTCCATAGAGTTAGAACACAGGCGGGTGGTTGGTTACCAGGAGCAGAGGAGAGGGCAGAATGGGGAGCAACTGCTTCGTGGGTTCAGGGTTTCCTTTTGGAGTGAGGAAAATGTTTTGGAACTAAATAGAGGTGATGTTCGTGCCACATTGTAAATGTACTAAATGCCACTGAATTTTACACTTTAAAATGGTTACTGGTTATGCTATCTGAATTTTACCATAAATAAGACAAAAAGGAGACAAGAGTCCCCTCAGGGAAGAAGAGATGAGAGAGAGAAAAATCAGAGGCAGCAGGGGGTGGGTGTGGGGGCCATTTCCCCAGACACTCTCTGAGACTTCACACACACACACACACACACACACACACACACACACACACACACACACACACACACACACACCACTAAAGGTCTGTCTCCCTCCCCAGTGGGACTCTGAGTGCTGTGAGGTCAGTGACTAGGCCCAAGAGGTGCTCAGACTTTCTGAGGCTCAGGCGTCCTTGGCTTCGCTTTCTCTTGCATGCCTCATACCCAATGTGAACAACAGAAAATTCTATTGTTTCAACTTCATAACAAACTGCAAATCCTACCAAAACCCATAGCCGCTGCTTCTAGCCTAGTCTGAGAGCCCAGGGCCTCTCACCAGATTACTGTAGCAACCTCCTTCCTCACTGATCTCCCTGCTTTTGTCTTGACAGCCACATCTCAGTACAGCTGCCAAGCAACCCTGCTAAAACCTAGATCAGATCATCTCCCTCTGCCTAAAATGTTCCTTGGCTCCCACCTCCCTCAGAGCAAGGCCACAGTGGTACAAAGGGCCTTGTGTGGTCTGGCCCCTGATGGTCTTCTGACCCCATCTCTGGCCAGTCTCCTCCCCACCCCCATTTCCTCCAATCCAGTGGCAAATACTGTTTCAGAATACACTGGAAATACTCCTGCCCCGGGGCCTTTGCATTTGCTGATCCTTCTACTTGGAATGCCCCCCCTCCACATGCCCACATAGCTCACTCCCTCACTAGCCTCAGTCCATGATCACAGGTCAGTAAGCCCCTCCCTAACCTGCCTATTTCAAACCGCAGGCCCCACCACCCCCTTTCCTCCACAGCACCGAGTGCCTCGTAACACAGCATATCATTGACTGGATTATCATGTCTATTGGCTGACTCCCCCGACCTAAATACCAGCTCCCTAAGGAGAGAGACTCCATCTCTTTTGTTCTAGCCTGTCTTCCCTGGAACACAGCACAGTGTTCATTAAATACTTACTGGATTAAAAAAAAATACCTGCTGGATAAATGTATCCCAGGCACTGCGCAAGGTCAGGATGTCAGACCGGCATCACGCTACCCCACACCCCAGGCAAACTGTCCCTGGGATTAGCAGAAGGCACAAACCTGGCACTGGCCCAATCCAACCACCACCCTCAGTGGGGCCAGCTCTGGGCCTTGCACACAGTAGGTGCTCAATAAAAATTTCTTTCCCTGAACAGACATCACCTGGCAAACATCAGGCTACTGCATCTCCTTCAATGCTTGAATGATTAAGCATCAAAGGCTGCCCCAGGAGCAGGGCCAGGTATGAGCCCTGGAACATGGGTGGGGGACAGAGTGAGGTGGGGCAGGGGAGAGGGTGACGTCTCACAGCACACACAGAACAGCCGAGGAAACCTGCAGGAACTCTCCAGGGCACTGTTCCAGGTGCCCGCAACAGAGAGAGAAAAGAAAAGGAACATTGCAGATGGGGACGGGAGAGAGCAGGGGATGAGTGTGGGCAAGGGGGACCCTCCTGAGCCACAGCCCCTAAATGCCAAAATGCCTGAAATGGGCATGGGTGCGTGATCATCAAGGGCACCTCATACCATGACACTCTCCCATGGTACCTGGTACAAAATCCAAACTCCTCCCACAGCTCACAAGACCCAGTGTGGCCGGCGCCACTAGCCTCCCTGACCACATCATGCCATCTCAAGCACCCTTCTCCCCTTTAGGAGGCAAAGTCCCCTCCCCCTCCTGGCATGTGGTTCTGGAACATTCTTCGTTCAAAGTTCCACAAGAGAGTCACCTACTCCTCATTCTTTTGTCTCAGCTCAAACCTCACCTCTGTGAGGCCCTCCCAGACCACCCAGTCACCCTCCACCCTTCACTCAGCTACCCTCTGTTTTCTTTCCTTCATAGCCCTTGGTGCTCTGTGAAATGCTCTTGTGTGGTTACTTCTTTATTCTCAGTCTTCCACAACAAAATGCAAATCCATGCGAGCAGGGAAACTTGCTTATTTTTCATTTTGTACCCAGTACCAGTCAGTATTTGATACAGATGTGTTGAATGACTGAGTACTTCACCTTAGTAGGTGCTATGGAAATTATCATGTTTCTCCTTTTGCTCTTGCTGCCAGGGAGCTCCAAGCCAAATACATGAGCTCAATCATAGCATCTTGGTTAATCCTCTCAGTTGGCATATCTGAATTCTCCTCCTGCCCTTGACCTCAATTTTCTACTTGGGTCTCTACCTGTTAACACTTTTTTAAATTATTATTATTATTTATCACACAGTAAGCTGCCTTTTAGGCTTTTGGGGGCCCAAGGCCAAGCACAGAGTGAGCCCTGCATGGTTCTCCTGAAGGCTCCTCAAATAGGTGGGGTCCTGGAGTCTATTCGCCCCTACCCCCAGCCTTATCCTGGCACATTCACATGCAATCCAACCTGGCCTCCCTCTATTCTGGTCTCTCCCTGCCCTGCCCCATTGCCATCTGTTCCTGCTCCCCACCCTCACCCTCTGGACTCTGGCAGGCATGTCTTCCTGGCCCAGCTCCTGGGCTGTGGACTGTGACCACGCATGTCTGGGCCCCAGGAAACCAGGGCAGCCAAGGACTGGGCTTCCTGCCAAGGCCTCGCACACCTCTCTCTCCCAGGAACCAGGTTTCAACCTCTTCCTGGTAATCTTTCATGGGCTGACACTGTCACACCTCCATCTAGAATTCTCACAGCTCAGGCCAGAGTCGGGGAGAAGGGCGGGTAGCAGCTGTGACCAGGAACCGGGAAGACTGACTGGATGCCCAGCCTAGGGTCTCCCTGAGGGCTGTTGGATTTCCTGGGTGACCTTGAGCAGGTGCAGCCTCTTTCTGGGTCTAGGCTTTTCAACCTATACAGGTGGGTGGGTGGGGGAGGGCTTGGTGACCTCTGGCATCCCCCATGGCGCTGAGTATAAGAGAGCTGGGGGTCAGGGGTCTGGGCTCCCACACTGTTGGCAGAGAACCTGTGGCATCCATGACTGTGCCCCCACCAGGGTGGGCTGGCAGCACCAGGTTCTGATGCAACCACCCCCCCAGCCTAGCTTCCCCTCTAGGGGAGCACCCCACAGAGGGGCCTCGGACCCTCAAGCATGGATGAGAGCTTTGTGAGCCTTTCTAGAAAGAAGTCACAAGCAGGCGACCTATAGGCCTGGTTTGGTCTGCACGTGGGATTGAAAAATCTTGAAATGAGTTGCCACTTTAAGAAAGCAGGGACTGCCACTTACTAATCTGAATTTCAAACTGCTCTTTGAAAGCCAGGCCCCTGGCGACACTGGGCCCACGGTGGAGCTAAGTAGCAAGCCACCCACTTGGGAAGGGGCAGGAGCTCCCCAGTTGGCCCCCATACACCACCCCCACCTGTCTAATGACTTGTTTATACTCTTTGCTTGGCCCCGGGGAGTTTCAAACTAGTTTTGGCCCAACAGTTTTCAACAAGTCTTTAGCAGTAGAAGTTCTTAATACAGAATCTTAAACTTCAGCCCAATATAAAAATAGACCTAAATGGGACAGCTTCGGTTGGATAGGACAAGGCGCTGGGGGCCCCTCACCCAGCATGTCAGCAAGGGTCTCTGAGGCTTGTTCATAAACACAAATTGAGGGGCACCTGGGTGGCTTAGTCGGTTAAGTGTCTGCCTTTGGCTCGGGTCATGATCCCGGAGTCCTAGGATCGAGTCCTGCATCGGGCTCCCTGCTCAGTGGGGAGTCTGCTTCACCCTCTCCCTCTGCCTACCTCTCTCTCTCTCTTCCTCTCTGTCAAATAAATAAAATCTTTTTAAAAAAATAAAAATAAAGAACACAGATTGAAAGGCACTAAGGTAGAGGCCCAAAACACCTAGGAAGGTTCAAACCCCACCAAATGGACATCCCTGCTTCCAAACACCCAGGGACAGGGAGCTCACTACCCCCGGAGCAGCCTAGCCCATCCATGGTATCTGCCTTTTTATGACACCTGTCTCCTTCTGTTGGGGACCACAGACTCTCATGCCCGCCCCACCCACACGAGAGGCAGGAATGGAGCCCCTTGAGGCTGTGTTTCCCCAGGCTGAGCTGCCCCTCCTCTGGCCACCCCTCCTGGTCAGCAGCCCCCCAGGCCCCAGGCCCTGTACCTTCAGCTCATTGAGATAGCGTCTTGTGTGCACCACCAGCAGGTCCTCATCCGAAGCCTCCCGCGCCTCCACCAGCATGCCATCTGATAGAAGCTTCTCTTCTGAAACCACAAAGTGGGCACCCTGCTTCCCTGATGACCCAAAGGCAGACGCGGCTCCAGACCACTCCTCCAGTAGGCTGCAGACTTAGCCTCTGCTAGCCCTGCCCCAGGAGGAGGTGGGCAACCGCTGGCTTCTGAGAACAGGTCACCTCCTGGGCCAGGGTGGACAATGCCAGGCCCCAGGGCCCAAGGGCATTTAGACATTGGGCACGCAGCAATCCTTGTGTTTCCCAAACCACTGACAGCCGAGAGGTGAGCTCAGGTGTGACTGGACGGCTTTCAGAGGCAGGTGGCACACGGATCAATAATGTTGACTCAGGTGAGAAAAGCTCTTCTGGGTTCTCCCTGCACCTTCTGGCGACGTCATGGGAGGCTCAGTGCGGTGTGGCCTCTCTTTAAGGCCTGCCTAAACCCTTGCTCATCTCCCTTTTTTAACACAAAAAGCAGCAGTCTTGCAGACTGCCAGGCAACAGTAAGCAGCCTGAAGTGAATTACAGTTTTCCTACATTTATTTTTTTAACCATGACCTTCTATCTGTGGCAAGTGAAACTGGCTTTTCCCATTTAGATGATATAATGTTTCCTTTTAAAACAAGTTTATAAGTTTTTTTTTAAAGCAGAGGCTAAGTCGATTAAAAAATATATATATGAAGTAAATAACAGAGCAGGTGGTATGGCAAGGTCCCAAGAGCGGTTTGCAAATAATTGATGTTTGGGAAACACTGCAGTATTTTATCAGCCCTCACATCCACCAGACAAGATTTGCTCTGTTTTGCAAAAGAAGACACTGAAGCCAAGGGCAGGAAGTGCTCTAGGGCACAGTGAGAACAGGACCATGATGCTCTGGGTTCTAGGGAAATCAAAGGGACAAGGTCAGAATCTAAGGAAAACTGTTAATGTGTAACCCATAGAAGCCAATTAGTCCCATACATTTCCCACATATAGCTCCACACACAGAAGGCACTCTCTACTCTCCCCTTTTCCCCTAATAACATTCCATGGCTCCCCACTGCCTTCAGGCAAAGGGCCAGCTCTTTTCTTGGCAGCACCCAAGGCCCTTCACCATGTGGCCCCTGCCTCCTTTCCACCCACAGCCTCAGAGGATAAAGGAGAGAACTCAGGAGGACTGTCAGCTCAGAGATGAGGGAGACAAGGAACTCTATGTTGAGCTGCTGGGTAACACAGGATCCCAAGAAAGGGCAACAGGGGGCGTGACTCAGGCCAGGTCTGCTGGAAACAGAGCATGAAGGACCATAGTCAAGAAGGCCAGAGACCTGCAAGGTGAGCAGCAGGCGGGCCCCACCCACCTCGCTGGGTTTCTCACGGTCCTGGCACCCCGCTTGGACTCTTCTACTTAACAGTTTTCAATACTCATTCTGGTCACAATTGTAAATGGAAAATCAGTACTGGTTGCCACAAATAGAAGTTAACCAAAAATAGAAAACATATATGATAGAAACAAACTGTTATTAATCTGTAACTTGATTCTGTTTTCCGCAACGTGCAGAGCCTGCGGCTTGCTCTAGATTTGTTAAAAGGGGAGATGGGCTTCGGTATTAAAGACAGGCTAGCCCCATAGTGAAACGTCCTCCATGGCGTGATCAGGATTGTGTGATTTAAAGATACACCATGCCTCATCCTATGCCAGGTAACATTCCCTTCTTCTGTCAATTAAAGAACCCCTAATGCAGGGGAAAGGGAGAATATTCTCCCACTAGCCTACTGTGATGCCTTAATTTCCCACCTAAACCAGACCCCTCATCACAAGCCAAAGTTGAAACCACACTCCAGAGCACCACCGTTCTTAGCGGAACAGCTGTGAAAGGTGGGAGCCTAGAGCTCTGAGTTCCAGACCCCACTCTGCCCCTTAGTAGCGGTGTGACTTTGAGCATATTCCCTAACCCTTCTGGGCTCCAATTACCTTCATCCGTAATCAGTAGGGTTGGAGCAAAAGCTCTCTACCTCTTGGACTCTCCGAGTTTATGGGGGATGGACACTGGATTCCTGTAAACTTCAGCTTCCCTGTGTCCATCAGCTCCCCTTCTACTGGCCTCCACGGACAGAGACAGGACTTAAGCCCACAGCGAAGGGGAGCACTGAAGGTTTGAGACAGGGACATAGCATGCTCAAAAATCTGTGTTGCAAAGCCCCTTTGCCAGCATGGTGGAAGGCAGTCTGAGGGCTGAGCCTGGAGGTGGGAGACCATGACTTGTGTCAGGGAAGACACGGGCAGGGGCGGGGGTCTGGGGTCGGGGAGGTGGGTTGGAAGAAACAGATGTAGGGTCTCATAGGGCCTTCCATACCTTTTAGGAAGCTGATCACTTTGCCCCATTTTCCTGCGTCAAAGGGATGCAGTTTCTCCAGGCCCATGAAGGTTATGTTGTAGCGTGGTGAATACACGATGGGCCAGCGTGTCTCCGGCACATGCTGGTACAGCTGAGTTGCGTGTGGCCTTCCGTGTGCACAGGGACAGACACACAGGGAGGGGCAGTCTCAGCGTGGAAAGCAGCCTCCTCCTCCCTACCACCCCACTTGGACTGACCACACACCCTGACCCAGTACCACTAGCTCCCTCGGCCGCAAGAAAAGGGCCACTTAATATCAGTAACAACAGTCGTCAAAACAGCTACTTACTGAGCATTGGCTCTTTCCCTGCACTATACAACCCAAACCTCACCGGAGCCCTGGAAGTAGGCACCACCATCCCAACAGGGGCTTGGAGAGGGAACCAGCCCTGCCCAAGGTCACACTGCAGATCTGTGCAGCACCCAATGTTCACCAAGGTGCATCTGGCTGCAAGGCCTCAGCGTCTCACTTCCACATTATAACAATCACGCTAAACAGCTGTATGTTTCCTTAACTGTAAAATATGTGGCTATCTTGAGACAATGCGTCCAAAAAGCTGAGCACAGAAAGCGCCCTATGCCTGAGAGCTGGGGGTGGGGGCGACGATTCCCAGAAACAGCAGGTCGGGGTTCACGCAGGCTGTGGCCCAACCCGCAGGCCCGGATGGAGATCTCCTCAGCCTTGCCGCGCAGCTGAGCCCCCTCCCCACCCCATTACACCTCTGCAGCCGCCGCCGCATGGGGACCAGAAACCTGGCTCCAGCGGATGCCACTGTGAGGGGCCTCCGCACAGCTGGTGGAGCCCGGGATAAGACAGACGTCAGACCCGCGCACGTCGCCGGCCCTCGCCCAGGTCGGAGCCCCGTGGTCCGCACCTCGGACCGCAGAGAAGTGGCGCGGGGCCGGCCTGGGCTCACTCGGCCTGAGCGTCCCCTCGCCCGCGGTACCTGGGCACGCACCTGACGAGCCCGCCGGGTAGCCCGCGCACTAGTGCTCCCGCCCACGGGAACCCCTGGGAACCCCGGGGGCTTGGACTGGCGCCCCACCCCGCGCCCCCACCCCTGCCTCACTCACATCCCGGGACCGGGCCCTCCCTGCGCTGGCCACTGCTCCGCGACCGGGCGGGGCGGGGCACGGCCCCGCCCAGGACACGCCCCCGGCCTCGGCCGCCTCCGCTGGGGGCGGAGCTCCGACAGTCTCGACTCCGCCCCGCCCGCGCCCGCGCCTGCGTCACAGAGGGATGAAGTCCCGCAGTGAGCGCGCCCGCGGTTAGGAGGCCACGCCTCCAACGGCCATCAAACACGAAGTCCCGCCTTCCGCAGACAAATGCCCAGTGGAATCCGCTGGCTCGGAAAGCCACGCCCCCTAGGGGGAGGGCCGCGCGAGTTTTTATCAAAGCGCGCCACAGAGGTTTGGAACTTGCGGAATCGCCCCGCCCCCAGTCGACCTGCGCTCCTGCTCTCTCCCAAGGCTGGGACTTAGGGACGCTTGGGTTCCCGGCAGACTCTGCGGCAGACGCGCTGTGTGACCTTGAGCAAGTGTCCCCGCTCTGGGGGGCCTCCGTTTCCACGAGTAAAATGGGATGGGGGTGCTCTGGCCCTGCAATCTGTGACCTAATGAAATCCATGACCTCTCCGACTTGAGGCCACACGCGTGCCCTCCCTGCCCCATCTTTGGCGACCCCAAGGTGAGACAAACTCCCCACACGTCATTTGGGCACTCTGAGCCTCAGTTTCCTCGTCAGTGGAGCCGGGCTGGAGATCCAATCTTAGGGGTACAGCCGGGTATCCGTGCTCGCTCCCTGTCCCTCCCACCCCGATCAAGACACGCTGGGAGTGCCTTGGGGCTGGACCCTGGGACTAGGCTCCAACAATAGAGCCGCAGAATACAGAGACAATGGGCCCCTCTGTTGGCCCAGCTGTCCCCTCCAGCCAAACAAGCCCCTGACCCGAGGGCTGCCAGGAACAGGGTAGCTGGGATCCCTGGTGGCTCCGTGAGAGCGCCCATGCGCGTGACAGAGTGGGCCACCGTGAAGGGGAAGGGCACAAACGTTTGAACAGTGCCCTCCAAGTGCCTGTCACTTGATTGCATGATGGCATTGGATTCTCGCACACACACACACACACACACACACACACACACACCCATCACACACATTTCCTAGGAGGGGTTGCTGTCATCACCCCAGTTTTTTCATGAGGTGAGCTGGAGGAAGGAGGATGGCCCACAATATGCTCGCATGGACCCCTGAACCTCTCTGGAATGGATTGTCTCCTTCATCGCTGTCCCTCTGTCCCAAAAGGGCAAGTTCCTAGAACACAAATATTGAAGGAAGAAAGGAGAGAGGGAAAGCAGGAAGGAAGGGGGACAAAGGAAGGGAGACAGAGACATAGTCATGATGAACATGGGTCATACAATATATATAAATATGCCAGGGCAGATCCACGTTTTGTTGGGCCCGATGTTTATACAGTGCAGGAGGGGAACTGGTTTTCAAAAAAGGAAGGCCAAAACTCTAAATACAAATTAGAGACAGAGCCTTGGAGGGGGCCTGTGTAAGCAAGGGCCCCGGAGCTGCACAGTAAGGCTGCTTCTGCCACATGCATGAAAAGCAGATGGGTAAGCCCACTAACGCATGTAGGAACACAGATCCCAGAACCTCTCCCTCCCAGACACGTAGGCACACGGCTCTAGGCCGCGGTGGCTCTCAGGGGCTGGGCCCTCTGGACACCAGCCTTCAGAGGCCCCTGCTGCCCTCATTTAGAATTTAGGCTCTGGCCCGACTCCTTCCACATCAACTGAGCATCCTGTTGGACCCATTCCCGTGCGTGCACTTTGCTGTTTCAGAGGAGTGGACTCTATTCTCTGTCCCTGCCTCCTCACCTGAGCCTCCCCGCCCACTGTGAGCTGGCTTCATACCACAGGGGCAGGATGAAGAGGAGGTGGGAGCTGTCTCTGGAGAGAGGCTTGGCGAATGCTCAGTGAAGTGCTCCCTCCCCGCCATGCCTCCCCAGCCCGTCCTACTGCCTTTCCCAGAGGATGGGAACCCGAGGCCTGGAGAGGGAGGTCATGAGCTCTGTGCGGGTCCTCTTGGGGGAACAGCAGTGTGTCTCACACACACACACACACACACACACACACACACCCATCACACACATTTCTGGAATGCCGAAGATTATAAAAGATTTTCAATACGGGAAAGCATAAAGAAAATGAAAATGACTCAAAATACGGCCACACAGATAATCCCGGTGGAGTTTAAAAATAAAGTTAATGCAGGCCCACATTTAGAAAATTCAAACAGTCCCAAAAGATTACAAAATGAAAACTAAAACCTCCTTTTCTATCTCAGTCCCTCTCCCCGGACATGATCATGCTTTGCATTTCTTTCCTGAATACTTTGGTAGACTGGCTTTGGCTGATAAAAAGAGAATCACTCTGCCCACTGTTTTCGTGCCTTGCCAGTTTCCCACCTAAAACACATCTCTGCAGATCCTTCCACATCAACAGGGGCCTAAGCTACTGTCTTCTTTTTAATGGCCATGCTTCTTTGCATTGTCTGAGTGTGTTCTCTGTCGATGTATATCAATTTCCAGTTTCTTTGTTCCTACAGTGCCCCAGCAGCTCCTTGGTGTACCTGGATGCACTATAAATATTTCTGTAGGGCCAGTTAACATGGAAGCACGTGGTCAAAGGATATATGCATTTTTAATTCTGGTAGAAATTGCCAAAATGCTCTTCCAAAGGATGGCATCAATTTACACGTGTATCAACAATATATGAAAGGCCTGTCCACCTACACTGTTACTAATTTTGTCAAACGGAGGAGTGAAAAGTCCTAGCTCAGTGTTTTTCAACAGCTTTATTGAAATATAATTCCCATGCTCTACAATTCACCCACTTAAAGTGTACACTTGAATAGTTTTTAGTGTATTTAGGGTTGAGCAACCATCAGCATAATCAATTTGAGAACATTTTCATCATTCCACAAAGAAACCGTTACCATTAATAGTCACTGTCCCATTTCCTCTCTTCCCCAGCCCCTAGCAACCACCAATCCACTCTCTGCATTGATAGACTTACCTATTGGGGACATTTCATAAAAATGAAATCATATCCTATATGGTCTTTTGTGTCTGACTTCACTTAGCGTAATGTTTGCAAGGGTTTTCCATGTTGTAGCCTCTGTCAGCACTTCATTCCTTTTTATGGCAGAATATTCCACCATTGGGATAGACCCCATTTTGTTTATCCATTCATCATCAGAGGATGGTCACTTGGGTCATTTCCACTTTTTAGCTCTTGTGAATAATGCTGCTGTGAACTTGAGCGTACATGTTTCTATGCACTTGTACGATTTCATTTCTCTTGGACACATACCTAGCTAGGACTGTGTTGTTTTAACAGGAGTTTCTTTTCATTTCAAGTGAGGTTGAACATCTTCAAGAGTTGCCTGTTCAAATCCATCGCCTATTTTACTGTTAGGTTGTTTGAACATTTTCTATTTGTGATGTTGTGATTTATAATACAAAATATATATTTGGTCTTCATCCCTTTCCTGGCACCAAGCTCCTGAAACCCTTGGAATTTCTAAGCAATGAGAACCATAAAAGATGTCTTTTGTTATGTTAATGAGGGTACTTTTGGAAAGCACCTATGAGTGGGAGCTGGTTGCCAAGGGATCCATGTGATTAGAGGGTTGAAACTTTTAGGCCCACCCCTTACCTCTAAGGAGGAAAAAGGGGCCAGAGATTGTGTTCAGTCACCGATGAACAGATTTAATCAGTCATGCCTAGATAATGAAGCCTCATAAAAGCCCAAAAGGATGAGGTTTGTAGGGTTTCTGGGCACATGAACACATGGAAATTTGGGGAGAGTGGCACCTGGGGAGGAGGATATGGAAGCTCCTCACACCTTCCCCATCCCTCGCCCTGTCCATCTCTTCCATCTGGTTGTTCCTGAGTTATGTCCTCTTAGAATAACCGAGTAACCTAGTAAGGAAAATTTCCTGAGTTCTGTGAGCTACTCTAGCAAATCAATCAAACACAAGGAGGGGTCATGGGAACCTCTGATTTCTAGCCAGTCTATCAGAAGACAGGTGACAGCCTGGACTTGGAATTGGCATCTAAAGAGGGGGCAGTCTTGTGGGACTGAGCCTTTCACCTGTGAGATCTGAGGCTCTCTCTGGGTAAAGAGTGTCAGAATTGAGTTGAATTGTAGGACCCGCAGCTGGTGTCTCAGAATTGCTTAGTGGGATGGGGAAAACACCCACATGCTGTAATTGATGAACAGAATTAGAACTGGTATCAGAATCATACTATTGATTTGTTAAGAAAATGTAGTCTGGGGCGCCTGGGTGGCTCAGTTGGTTAAGCGACTGCCTTCGGCTCAGGTCATGATCCTGGAGTCCCGGGATCGAGTCCCACATCGGGCTTCCTGCTCAGCAGGGAGTCTGCTTCTCCCTCTGACCCTCTTCCCTCTCGTGCTTTCTATCTCTCATTCTCTCTGTCTCTGAAATAAATAAATAAAATCTTTAAAAAAAAAAAAAGAAAATGTAGTCTGTTGTCTGGCATGCATATTGTAAACATTTTTTCCAGTTTGTCACTTGTCTTTTGACTTCATTTATGGTATTTTATGACATTCAGACATCAAATTTTTTTGTTTTCAAAGTTACTAACCTTTTCTTTTTAAGCTTATAACCAGCTTTCCCACCACAATTATAAAGTTATCCATAACTTCACGGTTTTCACTCTTCCTCCCTCTTGTTTTGTAACATTTAAAACTTGGATCCTTGTGGGGCTTATTCTGGTGCCAGGAATAAAGATCCAGTGTTCTTTCTAGATGGTCAAGTAATCATCTCAACATCTTTAATTGAAGAACTTGTCTGGACACCACCCATTTGAAATTTCTTTACCATAAATTCACCTCTTACCACTTTATCATAACTTTCATGTTCTAATGTCTTCGAACCTGCTTCGGGACCCTCTAGCACTGTGGTTCTCAATCCTCCTTGCACACCGGAATCATCGGGAGGCATTTAAGAAAACACCAATATCCAGATCCCACCTATTGGATCAGAACCTCTAGGGGAGTAGGGCCCAAGTATTGCTTTGTTTTATTCATCTGCTTTTT